TGCAGAGAGCAAAAAGTTTTCCAAGTCGCTGGGGGGTTCTAGTGTTACTTGAATAAGTCTGGGTTCTCCATAGTGTGGCGATTTCGAATGACGAGAAATTCGTAATAAGTTTATGGGCTTGGCTTTGACACTCATCAGCATGCACAATAAGTTCAAATGGTCTTGGTCGTCCGAGAACTTATCCCGCAATGTGATGGCGGAGATTCAGGGACATATGAGCATACAACAGTCAGGGCATTATTGTTGGATTCCTTTTCGTTGATCTACAAGGTATGGTACTCGTTTGTCCTGACCTGCTGACAAGTGCTGATTGTTTACTGTTTGTCCTTCTACTCGCGTTAACGGTGTTTACAACAGAAAAGGCCGAATCGGCGGCCTCCCGGTGGACGTTTGCAGCAATCTCTACATGTCACTGATGTTCCGGGGGTTTCGCCTCGACAAGAGACATTTGAGCTACAGGCACCGAGGGTTGGTGTTCGGCTGCTTCATCCTTGTTAATGCTAGATGTCAGGTTTAGTGGAAGTTACATAACCAGACGTTTCGAGTGGTGCTTGATTTCTGTTGCCATGAGTACTGTTCGACTCTCGTAGGTACGATCAGTTTTCGCCCGGCGTTCTACCAAAGTTGACTGGTTGCGGTTCAAGGGAAGCGGATTGTGCAGCATTCCGTTACTTAGAAGCCGATACGCTTCCGTGGTGCATACTAGCTTCCATCGAAGTAATCCTATCGTTCATCCTCTGCTCAGCTTCTGTGGTTAACCGATCGCACTTCTGAACTAGGATAAACAAGCACTTAACGAGTGGGATGGTAGAGCACGCAGTACAGAACCAAAGTGCATCTTAGGAGCTATTTCGCTCTCGTACCTGTTGTTGGGACACAGTTGCAGATTTCGGATGATACCATTCCAAACAGTGCGAGCAAGCCAGACCGATGTTAACTACTCGATGACATTCTTCTAACGCGCAAATGCCTTTCGCTTGGAGCTTTTCCACATTCGCATTTCTGCCATTCAACGTGGTGTCGTTACCTGACCCGGTGGGTTGGTTAGTGTTCTGTACTTTTCCAGCTTCTGCAATTTTATGACGTTAAAAAAATAACTGGTTGGAGAAGTATTTCCTAATATTTAAACCAATTATTTGGATCACGATTGGCTGAGTGAAAGAGCTATTCTTGTGGCTAAGAACAAGGATGTCGATGAACTGAACGTTAATATTCAGTCTAACATTTCAAGCGAGGCAGTCGTATAGAAGCCCCTCGATGCCGTGTTGCAAGCAGATGAAGCGGTTCATTATCCAACAGATTTCCTGAACTCACTCGAGCTGCCCGGAATGCCACCGCACGTACTTCAATGGAAAATCGGCACACCAATTATTATGTTGCGAAATACCAACCAACCATAGCTTTGTAGCAGCACGTGGATTGCAGTAATGAGATTACCCAGCAACGTCGTACAGGCAACGGTGAAGACGTTCTCATTCCTCGCTTTCAGATGATTCCTACTAATACGCCATTTCAATTTAAGAGACCGCAATTTCATATTCGTTTAGCGTTTGCAATCACAATAAACAAAGTTCAGTGACAGTATTTTAAAGTGTGCGGGTTAGGTCTATGCACCGACTGCTGCTCACATGGACAACTACATGTTGCGTGTTTTAGAGTCGGTAAATCTGACAATCTCCATAGGTGCACCGACAAGGTTACAACGCAAAACGTATATCCACAAGTTGTGAAACCACATCTATTACAAGGGGGAGATTTTATCCTGAATCTACAACTAACAAAATTGCATACCAAAAGTATTTCGAAACTACATCTATTACAAAGGTTAAATTTTTCTTTTCATTCAGTACATATTACCCACACTGAGCCACAGCAATGCGTGGCCGCATACAGCTAGTTAACAATAACTGATATACATAGATATAGCTAAGAGTGAGTGCGACCAGACAAGTTTGAGGTATGAATGCGGCGACAATTACATGGACAGAATTGACAGGACTCTGACTGCCCGAATAAAGAACCATGTGCCGAAATGGGTTCAACGCGAGGTTGTCTAAATTTCCTTCCCCCGTCAAATTCCGTGCTCACGTAAACCGCCGGCCTCCACGATAGTCTCGAGTCACCGGACAGAGCTAGATCAACGTTCAAAGTTGGGTTACGTCACGCCAATTCCCGATTCCTACGGTTTTCTGAAACTGTTGCTATAAGCAGGATGAAGCCAGCCCTGTGCGTTCAGAAACAACTGTTTGTCAGCCTAAAGCTGCCCTGGACGGAGGGGTAAACTTCCGTCATTTGTTCTGCAGCTCAAGCTTGCCTGGTTGCATCCACTGTTAGCGATATCTATGCATATCGGTTATTGTTAGTGGTACCGAGCAGACAATATGAAATGCACGCATCTATCGGCCTTCGGCTTCTTTACGTACTTTTCAGACTATTGAAGAGAGCCAACCGCTTTAAAGATCGTGTTTCAAAAGATAACAATAGGGAGTGATAATACAGAAGAGTTAGAAAAACTATTAACTGGTTTGCTCCGAGGAATGATGCAGACGAATGTTATCACGTAATACGAACTAAAAAAGATGAGACGTTCAGGTGGACACCTATCGCGATTGTACAATCTTCATAAGGTTCACAAGGAAAGTGCTCCACTAGGTCCGATCCTAGACATGCTTAGATCTCTGTGACACATATAGCTCAATGGACGGTAGAGAAGCTGAAACTGCTGTGAAAAACCACCTGCGCTTACTGCATAACACTTCGAGTTAATTGAGATGTCATCATTTGACGCCTAGTGATAGTTTACGGGTATTCCGTCACCGGAAAATGTAAAATATGTGTGCGAACTAATACAACTAATAGTAAATAGAAATTGGGTGTTTCCCGCCCGAAAACACTACACTACTATGACGCGTTCCGATGTTATTACATCACATCAGATAGAGTTAGCAGGCATCGAACCCAGGACCATTGGGAGGATAGTTGTGACCGCTACCCCTAAGCTACCGAGTCACGACAATCAACGCTTGGCATAACGGTAAAATGAACGATGTTGAGGGTCATTTTGAAGTACACGTTGTGTGGATGGATTACGACGCGCAATCTCAATGTTGACCGCGATGCCCATTGAAGAGAACCTTGGTCATTCGATCACGAGGACCGTAGCATCAGCTACGGTCCTCAACATCCTTCATTACACCGTTGTGCCAAGCGTTGCCCGTCGTGACCCGGTAGCTTAGGGGTAGCTGTCACAACTATCCTCCCAATCCGAAATTAGAGCATAGCTCACTAACATCGCACACCAAAGAAGCTGAGATTTATATACATTATATGATTGACATCATTAAACTCTGCAATGTAAAACAGTTTATGAAGCTTCTGGAAGCATTTAAGGACGCGCATTAGAATTTGCATTTCAACTGTGAGCATGAGTCCGGAGATCGGCTACCCTTTCTAGACACCAACGGACCGTTCTGTAGAACGTTGTGCAAAACACACGCTTGCATTGCACATTACACCAACTGTTATAGTACGATACGACTACATGGGAAAACGGAATCTAATCCGCACTCTTGCCTTTCGGACGCGTAGTATTTACCCAAGGGACACCGTTACCGAGGAATTGCAGAGGATAAGTGACACCCTAAGAGCAAGTGAGCATTTGTGTACGTTAATGCTCGGAAATCTGAAAGTACACAAAGGAAAAAACCATCGAGGATGTGTACGCGAAAAGAATTTGTGCATTTTCCTACCAAAAGCAACAGTGCGGCTGATGCCCTGTCCAAACATGTAAAATATGATGTTAAGAAAACCTATTTCGCAAATTCTTTATGCACACAACAAACGTTCACTCGCAAAACCATTGCATGACAGAGTGATTCCATTAGCAGAAGCAATACTACTCTACCTATAGTTGTGCACCCGTGGTGCACGATACGTTGGTCGTACCACGAGACGCTTATCTCATAGGATTCGCGAACACATTACGAAGTGGTCTTGAAGAAGTAAAGCGAAGTCTTCTAATAGATTCATCATATCGCACATCACGGAGGTTTCTGAAGTGATTTCAGATTCATCTTGAAAGATTATCGTGCAGATTCCGGGAACATGTACTATTGATTCCTGCAACTATCTGTTTCTACCGCCTCAAGTCAGACCTGAGCGTATAAAAGCAATGATACGAGCCTTACTTCTGCCGCAGCCTACAACTGTAGTTACATGACCGTTTGGATTGTACCCTAGCAAATCTGTGATCGGTTGTGAAAGTGATTCACCATTGAAGCTAACATAGTAACTTCGGTGACAGCGTGACTTATCGATTTAGCCGTTGCAATTAAACACTAATCAGAAAGGTTGAGTCTAGAAGTGCAGCGTCCGGGAACCTAGTGCGGTAAAGATAATGGAAAACGATACACCCGAATTAACTCCACCATATACACTCCCCTTGAATTATGTAGATTAATAACATTGGCTTGATGATGTGAAACAAGATGGTTAGGTGTACTGCAATTTCATGCGAAGATCGTGGCTGATCAAGCAACTGAGTAGTCGGGAGAAGCGTTTAGCAACAAGTAGCCTCAGTTTGGAGGGACAGGTGCGTTAATCGACGGATGAGAAAGGCTCGACGTGATGGCCTTGTAGAGTATACATAGACAGGACACCCATAATACACACCGTAACATATGGACAGCCTAAGAGCCGCACAGTTGTTTTAAGTGCGTCACAAATGACGGGTTTAATACAATATAGTTAGGTAGATTAAGAAATCGGAGACGGTGATAATATTCCATAGAAACGCTGTGTGCTGCAGCAAAGTCGAGGGCAATAGGCGTGTTACAAAACCATGAAAGAAAGACTACAGCACAAGGTTCCCCTAAATTATTAGAAGGGAAAACTAGGTGGGAAGGTACAGAATTGATACGAAGAAAACTGACTGGAAATGATGAAAGATAAGCATGCAACCGTGCTGGCATGGCAGGTAGCAGCTTGTAGTGATCACGTACCTAAGCATCGATTGATTGATTCCGTGGTTACTTCAATTGCCAGTCGTAAGAACGAGACGATCTTTTGCGATTCAACAGTGCACAATAGCTCACGCGACTCTAGGTTATTGAGCCAGCCAACAGCCTCGACTAGTACGGGGAATAACCGGTTCACCAAATGCAAGCAAACGTCAATCTAAGGAGGGTTCGAAAAAAACGTGCATGATGGCAACATGTGTGAGCAACATCAGAAGAAAGATGGTAGCCGAAACAGACGCCGAGAGCGAATCAGATAAACGAAAAGGCCTGGGAAGGATATGTTAAAGTTTCCACATGCGGAACTAACGCAAGCGTGCGAACGCAGTAATGGCTCGTATTCAAACGAGGTAAGGACGAGAGAACACACCGAGCTGGCAGAACGCAATCTGTGGTCTGGCACAAATGTGGAATAGACCTAGTACCCGAGGCAAAAGCACTGGTGAGTGGGAATTCATAGACACGTGCACATGTAAGGAGAGTCAAAAATACCGGGTATGAACATCTTACTGGCAATACTGACTCATACAGGAAACGAAAGAAAAAACGCGGTCGAGAAGCGCAAAGATTGTAATGCCTTCAAGATAGTGAAAGAAGTGTCTAACTAAATTTCCTGTTCCGTTCTTAATCCGAATACAAATGAGCTTATTAACAATATTGCCCTTGGTGTGGATCTACTGGCACCTACTGCATGGAGAAAAACCAATGTACGAAGCCAAAACCAAACTAAAGAAAGTTTACCTGCTATATACTAGGAGCTACAGTTTCGCAGCATTGCTACAAATACATGAGAATATGCTACATTTAAAACGTCTAACCCAAATGGCTAAAATCAAAGAGGAAAGTCGGGTACTCAGAAATCCTGAGAAAGTACGTACATTGATGCAACTACTCGAAAGAAGGAATCCTAAACCCCATCAGCAAATTGAAACGTTGGCTCTAGACGATGGCTCAATAACGCGTGACATCTCCTGTATATGCGAGGCTATGAACCCTAGTTTTGCCTCCTGTTTTGTCCACAACACTCAACCCTTTCATCCTCCACTTCCAAAAAAAAACGAATGAACAACACTGTAATATCTCTGTGATGTTAAGAGATGTGCAAAGTGCCATCGCAGCCATAAAACCATCAACTCGTCCAGGCCCAGATGGCATCTCCCCAACTGTTGTAAAACTCGGGGAAAAAAACCTCGCTCTACTCCTATCAAACATCTTCACACTTTCTCTCACTACCGGCTTCTTTTCATCTCAATGGAAACAATCCATTATAATGCCTAAGCACAAGCGACGCCCGAGAAATAACTTGTTAAGCTACCGCCCAATAAATCACACCTCTGCTGCTTCCAAAGCTTTAGAGGGAATAGTCAAGAAGAACATCGTTCAATATGTTACAAGACTGGATCGGATCAACACATCACAGCATGGCTTTCTCTCAAAACGCTCATGCGTTACCTGCCAGTTAGAATTCCCCAATCATGTCACGACTATGATTGACAGAGGAATGGCAATTAGTATAATTCTGTTGGACATGCAAAAGGCGTTCGACCGCGTGCCGCACAAGCCACTGCCGTCTACTCTAGAGTCATATGGAATTGGAAATCCTCTGCCTAACTGGTTCGACTCTTACCTAAACGGTCGAACCCAGGTAGTTAGAATCGGTCAGCAATATTCTACACCGAACCAAATAACCAGCGGCGTCTTCCAGGGAAGTGTGCTCGAACCACTACTTTTCCTAATCTACTTAAACAACATATGCGACCCGATAAAACATGGACGCCCATTTCTATTTGCAGATGACGTCAAGCTGGTCTACTCATTTCATTTAAACCAACTACTAATGTGTCTGGGAAACACATGTGAAGACCTATCCGCATTAATTATAGCCAGTGAACGTTTATTAATGAAGTTCCTCGCAGTGAAATCCCAAGATGCCGCATCCCAGAAGGCTCTATCACACTTGCCGGAAACGGGATCCCAACGTCTGATTCAGTTAGAGACTTAGGAATTAGGTACTCGGAATCTTTCAATTTCTCCGAGCATGTGCTTTATCAGGTTGCAAAACCAAGGCATCATCATCATCATCATCATCATCATCATCATCATCATCATCATCATCATCATCATCATCATCATCATCATCATCATCATCATCATCATCATCATCATCATCATCATCATCATCATCATCATCATCATCATCATCATCATCATCATCATCATCATCATCATCATCATCATCATCATCGTCGTCGTCGTCGTCGTCATCATACACGTTAGCTGGAGGTGGGGAACACCTTAGCTACTGTGCCGCAATACACCGTAAAAGGAGAAATAAATGCAACTGGTGCAAGTCGGCTGAGCTACCGGTAAAGGATGGGCATCGTACTAAAAAGCTACCAGCCGGCTACTGTGCATCAAAAAATTATGCAGAATTATATAAAATTAAATAATGAGATCGTGATTGGAGGGGGAGGCTAAGAGGGATGGGGTGGGACAAAGAAACTCACAGCACGAACGCCACTGAGGTCGGCTCCTAGCCATATCAGCAAGTGTGTCCAACCAAACGTGTTCATCGTCTTTCGGACCCCAACCAGGGAGCCGAGACGTTCCAACCGACGCCAGCTCAGAAGTGAGGGCCTTCATTCCTCTGGATCAAGTCATCGCATGGCCACCCCTCCTCTTCTTCCATCCACACGCCCGGCGCGCAAACAACACAAGTCGCGGAAGTCGGTGGGCTGGCATGCGTAACACGTGGCCGAGCCATCGGAGCCTGATGCGTGAAATAACGGTGCTGAGCGGTTCATTTCCTTTTCCTGTGCCATAAACAAGGCGTCGAACATGCTCGTTGCTCACACGGTGTTCCCACCAAATGTGAGCTAAATTACGAAGGCACCGGTGGTCGAACGTAACTAGTCTCTTCAGGTCCGCTGCTTTAAGCGGCCAGGTTTCACAACCGTACAGTAGGGTCGAACGTACTGCTGCATTGTACACTCTACCCTTCAGGGCGAGAGTCATGTCGCGCCGGCGCCACAAGTGGCGAAGGTTAGCAAAAGCGCCCCGAGCTTTTGCTATAAGATTCGTGATTTCATCTTCAATCCCACGGGCGCTGATACAACTTCCCAGGTAGTTGAATTTTTGAACGACTTCTAGCTGATCCCCACCAAGGGTCAGCGTAGGAGACGGTCTAGACCAATCTTGGAGAAACGCTTTGCACTTCGAGGGTGCGAAGCAAAGCCCGAAGTGACGGACAGCTAGTGCTAATCTGTCCAGTGCCGCTTGGCACGTTTGTGAGCTGTCACAGATCAGGGCAATATCATCAGCATACTCTAAATCAAGAAGTCGTTCTCCTGGGAGTAGCTCCACACCTTCTAAGTCGTGTCCTGTGAACGCGATTTCCATGACTTCGTCAACAGCGAAGTTGAAGAGGAAAGGTGACAGCGGGCATCCTTGTCTCACACCGCTGGAGATATTAAAGGGCGACGACAGCTTGCCGTAAGCCCTCACTCTGCCCGAGCTACGCGCATATAATGCTCGGATAATATTCACATATTTCTCAGGTACACCTTTCCTGAGTAGACAGTCCCAAAGTGCATGTCTATCCACAGAATCGAATGCACCTTTTATATCGAGGAACACGACAACGGTGGGCCGCCAATATATGTGACGGTGCTCCAACAACTGACGCAAGGTGAAGATGTGGTCAATGCAGCTACGACCTCGATGAAATCCAGCTTGCTCTTCGCGAATCTGGCTTTCACGAGTGCCAGTCAGTCTGTGAAGGATGACAGAGGCAAGCAATTTGGAGGCGATGGAGATCAGACTGATTCCTCTATGGCTGCCGCATTCCGATCGTGAGCCTCCCTTGAAAATTGGGACTATGATGGAGCGGCTCCAATCGGCTGGGACAGTTTCCTGCTCCCACAGTCTCACTAGTAACTCGTGTAAGTCATCCACAAGAGCCGGTCCCCCGAATTTGAAGAGGGCTGAAGGAAGATCATCTGGTCCCGCGGCTTTGTTCAACTTCAACAGTTTGATCTCATGTTCGACTTCTGAGCGAGAGGGCGGATCCAAAGGAGCAGCCCACGGAGCAGGGCAATCACTGGTCGGCGAGAAATCTAACAATTCCGACCGATTAAATTGCTTTTCAAAGTGCTCAGCCCAACGTTCCAGGAGTTGTGATAAGTTGTGGATTGGCTGTCCACTCTCGTCACGTATAGTTTCACTAACACCAGGTCTCCTACTGCCCGTTTCCCGTATAAGACGGAATAACTCACGATGGTTACCAAGGGCAGCGGTCATTTCCATCTCTGTTGCACGACGAGACAACCAGGATTCGCGGTCTCTCTTCACGCTAGCACGGAGTTTCGCCCGGAGCTCTTTGCGAGTTTCATTGTGTTCGCTTCCAGCCGGAATATGCCGGCGAGCATCTATAAGTTCCAGAGACTGTGAAAACCAAGGCAGCTATACGGATATATTCCCAGAACTTTCTCCCTACCTGAAGCACGACTTGAGTCATTCAAGACAATAGTACGACCGACTCTGGAATACTGTACTATCGTTCACAGCCAATTGAGAAAGAAAGACAGAACGGCTCTGGAAAATGTCCAGCGATCAGTTACAAAGCTAGTCACGGAGTGCTGCTCAAACCTGAGTTATTACGATTGATGTCAAAAACCCCAACTGGATCCTCTTTGGCTCAGATGCTTAAAGAACAACCACATTCTCTTCTACAACATTATAAACCAACGAATTTACGCAGATAGCACCGCTGTTGAACTAAGGAAGACTGCAGTCTACCCCACACGTAATGGCGGCTACTTGATACACACAAACTAGATCGAATTTCTTCTTAGTGAGATACAATGATCTGTAAAACCATCTACCCATACAGATACGCATGAGTGCAAGCTACGTCACATTTCGAAATTCCCTACAGACGTTCCATACTATGTCAAATGTGTTGAAGATCTTGGACACAAAGCAAACTGTAGAAACATGGACAGTAACTTGTATGATAAACATATGAGCAGATATTTGCTTACAACTAGCTTATCCACTACATGTTATTACCTACAATATCAAATCCTGTGTCTTTGCAGCCTAGTATTCCACCCATTTTATTATCTACTCCTGAGCCCCACAAACTAGAAAATGATGATA